GACATAGTCAGCTTAATACAAAAGACGATTATGAAAAAGATACGTATATCGTTCTAGTTTGATTAATTGATTTAGATAAAATCGTTCTTTTAAAATCCGTGAATATATCTCTTGTCTCAGTTAAGCTAACCCGGACGTTACTACAGAAACATACCACCTGTGTGAATACATTTATTTTGTTTTCTTTTAGAAAACTGTAGTAACGTATAACTTGTAAAGAAACCCTGTTTAAATTGTTAGCTATTTCACGCACATTGACAAGTATATTGCTACATAGTCAGCTTGAAATAGGACATTCTGACTGAGACATACCACTGCTGTCTTTTGTTATCCTTTAGAAAACCGCCGTGACGTGTAATTTGCAAAGATTCTTTCTCAAATTGTCAAACATCACGTTAACGTTGCTACTACACTGGTTTACTTGTGATGTCCCATCTCATATTTTGTTACTTTTTCGAATTGATTAGAACCAATAAAATCGCACATGCAAGATAATCCCGAAACAAACGACTTAATTTGCTGTAAATATTTTCCAAAAACTGGGATACGGATTTACGCATGCTTTATTATTATGATTTACGTGAAAGTTGAACTTTTTTTCAATTAAACAGGATTAACCATTATAATTCATATTCCTTATTTGTAGATAATATTATGCAAAAACCTAGATAAAGCGTAAAAAAAGACAAATTCCAAATAATGGAATTCCTTTATCGTATCTTTGCGGGAATAGTGGAGAAAGTGGGGTGAATCACCAACCTTTTACCCCTTGAATGGAAATTGAACTATTCCTGTGTAGATTGTCGTGACTGAGAAACCTTTAATTGAAGGGGTAACCAGCTTTATAGTACAACCGTTGAGAGCGAAATACAAGATAAAAAAAATATTTAGGGGATTATTGCTATGTAATTTAGAGATATATTTATTTCAACTAAATTCAGTTTCCTTCTTTATTTTAGAAGTATGTCTATCACATTGAAATGTATCTCTATAAATTTAAAGAAATCGCTATTAGCAAATAACATTGGATATCTCTTAATTTTAATAGATAAAAAATTATTTTGAAGATATTCCTAATTGTCAACAAGTTCACTGCATCTTCTTTAGAAATAAATATAAAATGATAAAAAAATAATTCTATTTTATCAACCTTACTGAGAGAAAAAGATCAATGAAAAAACACGTTGCTACTACAATGGTTTACTTGTGATATCCCATCTCACATTTTGTTACTTTTTTGCTTTGATGAGAACCAATAAACTCGCACATGCAAGAGAATTTCGAAAAAAAACACTCAAATTGTTGCAACTTTTTTTTCCAAAAGCTGGGGTCTACCGATTTCCGCATGCTTTATTATTATGCTTTATGTTGACGTGAAAGTTGAACAAATAAACAGGAGTTACCATTATATCTTCCTTATTTGTAAATAACATTATGTAGAAACCTGGATGAAGCTTAGAAAAGAAGACAAATTCCAAATAAGGAAACGTTATCGTATCTCTATGAGAAGGATAGAGAAAGTTGGGTGAATCACCAACCTTTTACCCCTTGAATGGAAATTGGACTATTCATGTGTAGATTGCCGTGACTGAGAAACTTTTAATTGAAAGAAGGGGTAACAAGCTATATAGTACAACCGGTGAGAGCGAAATAATTCGATAATAATAGATAAAAAAGAATATATTTTGGAGATATTCCTATTTAGTTTAGAGATATATTCATTTCAACTAAATTCAGTTTCCTTCTTTATTTTAGAAGTATGTCTATCACATTGAAATGTATCTCTATTAATTTAAAGAAATCACTATTAGCAAATAACATTGGATATCTCTAAATGGGTTATCTATTAGGGTAAACTATTTCTTTATTACAATTAAAGATAGCTCTTCCACTTTTAAAGATATCTCTTATATTTTAGAGACCTACATTTATTTTAAAGATATTACATTAAAAGATAGCTCTTTCTTATTTATAAATGTCTGCATTTGCAATGTAGATACCTATCTTCTATTATTGTTAACCCTATTACATTTAAAGATATATGTAATACGTTTTTTACTCCTCCATTGTTATTAAATGTCAAGTTGACTTGGGCGCTCATGAAATAGGGAAAAAACCAGGAGAACTATTACTCTTACACAAATAGTGAAATAGACAGTGTCAACAGTGACCATAAAAACGTTTATATTTTCTTTACAATCAAGCATAAAAACGATATAAGATATTTGAAACTGTATTCAATACTGGCATTAATAACGAGTTTTTTAACCTGCTGGTGACTGTTTCTCGTGGGAACAAAATAAAGAAAACTAAAGAAAAAACAACAACATGTAAAGATATATTTCAAGGCAAGCATTGGGGAAGGGGACAGGAAAGACATTGTTTTGTAAATAAACTACTAAATTATTAAGATATTTCAAACTGTATTATATACCACAGCAGAGATATACAAAAACGTCTGTTGACAGCGAGCTCTTTACGTTCTAATACAAATATCTTCTAATGAGGTAAACAAAGCGCAAGTAGGGAGATGAAGCTTTCCTATATATTATTATAATGAAATAGGACGCCAAGTGGCTGTGACAACATCTGATGTAGGAGGCGTGTATTACGATCTATTTTGGACACTTTGAGACCTCTCACCCATATGTGTTTGCTCTTGGGTATCAAAGCATATAAATCAGTCAACTCTTTATAAATCCTCCCTGATATAACGTCATTCCCATTCTTATTGCCAAAATTTAGCTGGAAAAATACTGGCGTCAATTACGAGGTTTTATTGTAAGTATGGAAAGCGCAATGTATTGAAGTTCTCTATATTAAACTCGATAATTTGTCTTTCTTTGGAAAGTGGTCCATTAACCTACTGTTCACTGTTTCGCGGAATCAAAACACAAATAAGTTTAAACACAAATATGTAAAAACTTATTAAAAGGCAAGCATTGTGGAGAAGGACAAGAAAGAAAGTGTTTTGCAAATAAACTTCTACAACTAGCAAAATGTTTGGCTACGAGAACTTCCTGACGTTAGACTGGATCAAAATGACGCTTCGGTGGCTGCACAACAAGACGGGATACTACATCAGCATATTGACTGGGAATTACGTTAGAGGGAAGTCCCAGTGATTGACAAGATTGCTTCAAAACTAAGACGGTAGGTAAAAAGGAATAACACAGTGATTTTACAGACTGCTTTAAGCTTAGATAAATAATAATATACATCCTTTGTATAGCACCCTGTATAATTACTTTACTATCATTTACAAAATTACTCTATAGCACCCTATATAATTACTTTACTATCATTTACAAAATTACTCTAAAGTGATTTACAACATTTGACTAATAATATTCCTACAGTGACAGTTATACATATCGTAGAAAAAAAAGGAATTCAAATCAGCATTATACAATAGGTAACAAGACATTTTCTGCATATGCATGTAACCAGATATACAGGGTTGTGTGTCCATGACGTCTGCGCAAGAGAGCCTAAAATGCAGACGTTGAAAGTGTGTGTTTTTTTAGCCAGTACTTTTCACTTTCTGGTAGCAGATGGAAAGCTATTCCACAACGTGGCCGAAACTTGTCCAGGGCACCGGTTACCATAGGTACAAGATTTTGGGACAACCAACAAGGATTCTGAATATGACGATGCAAATGTTTAAAGGAAAAAAAAAAGTCAATTCATAGAGACATTTCACATAATCTGAATTGTCATACAGTATCATAAAATATATAATATGCATTTGAAATGTAAACAAGTAATATTACAAGCCAATACTGGAACTTTAAGGAAAAAATACAACAAAATAAAATTCGAAAAATATTAATTTAAACAAAAAAAATCCTTGACAAGTAAAACTTTGTTTTCAATTTGATCCTATACACGCTTCACATCATGTTACATGTAAATTTTTATTATCGCACAACTTACGACTCCTGTACGCGCTCATCTTCGCATCCTCGATACTCCAGGGGTTACGCTAACTTTCGCTCTCTGCACCCCTAAAATATGTCATAGCATAATTGACGGCATGAAACTAGCTATTTGATTTATCTCAAGTACAAAAGCTGTAAACGTGAACAGGTGACAGTGGTCAAGCACAACAGCTGTAAACGTGTACAGGTGACAGAGGTCAAGCACAACAGCTGTAAACGTGAAAAGGTGACAGAGGTCAAGCACAACAGCTGTAAACGTGTACAGATGACAGAGGGCAAGCACAACAGCTGTTTACGTGTACAGGCGACAGAGGTCAAGCACAACAGCTTTAAACGTGAAAAAGGTGACAGAGGTCAAGCACAACAGCTGTAAACGTGAACAGATGACAGAGGTCAAGCACACGAATCAAACACTTAAATTTAGCATTTATCTCATGTAATCAATATTACGTGTAATGTCTGTGTTTTATATAATATTACATATTCATTTAATAGTAACGATGTCCACAGTAGTAATGAAATTTAAAAAAAGTCTATGGTCACGAAACCGTATTCGCTGTTACCATACTTGATATCTAATTCACGTTATGTCAGCTGATCACTGCTACAGATCGTCGGCGCCTCGTACCACCAGGAACTGTTAAATGCGCTGCGGCACACTGATCTGTGAAGTAGCTCATATTACACCACCCCTATATTTGGCAGGTAGATAATAGCATCCTTGACGTCAGGCTGAGGAAAGCACACCCTTACCTGGCTAGGTTGTATTGTCATAATACTGTCTGGCCGGGTAATTAATTAAACACCCACCTTCTACAACATAATTACCCCGACGGGCGCTAACCACTAGATTTAGTGAAACAAAGATTTTAGTGGACACTTAGGATTATGAGATTACTTTGGATTTTTATTCCTGATGTAGCGACAAACGTTTCTTTGTGGTCGTTTTTAACAGTGTTAGATACAATGTAAACAGCTATACAACAAACTGCTTCACCGTGAAATCAACTTTTAATAGTCAATAGTCCTCGACTGTTTCAATTGTTTTTTTATATCATAATGGCAACATCCATGCAAAAAGCGCAAATCCCTTTCCGGGTTAAAGGCCAAATCACCTGTATTTACCACAAGGAGGGACAACTCGACCTTTACTGTGAAGAATGCCAACAACTTGCTTGCATTAACTGTCTGTCTACTGTACACAAGGGCGATCCTTTGTGTAGATTAGATGAAATTACTCCTCGAATAGAAGAAGACATCCGAAACTACATAGACAAAAACGAGAAGGCTGACCTGGTGCAAATCGACCAATACATCACTGCTACTGAAGAACAGTTAAAAGATAATGCAAGCAACTTTGAAAAACTTTCATTCCAGTTGAAGACACAAACTAACAAATTAAAACACAACCTTGAGCTGCTAGCAGCTCAGACTCTGTCTCTCTATCGACAAATGGAGGAGGAAAACTCCAAGCTACTACAAACATACAAACAGGATCTGGAAATGTACAGCACTCGGCTAAAACAACAAGTACAAGAATGTAAGGTTGTACTTCAGCGTGGCTCTGACATACAAATCTACGACGCAGGGTCTGAAATTCAATCTTCCGTCACACTCCCTGTAAAACCTACCCTGGGTACCGCTAGCTTCAGTCCGAACCGAAATCCTCAGAATTACCTGGAACAAGCTTTGGGCAAAGTTAACATCACAGGACAAGGTCTTGGTCAAGCTTTACAAAGACATGGTCGTTCAGGTGGATCATCTGCCGGACAAGGATTACTCTCCACACAACCTCGGGAAAAACTAAAGGTAAAGACATCCTCTACTCAACAGAGATCAAAAGCAAGAAAGGACGTATCCAGTCCCGTATATACCCTGTTGCATCAGACCAAGGTGTTGGGGGAGTGGAAGTCTTTATGTTATATCACTTCTGTATGTCCCACCACTGATGGTCAGGCATGGACCAGTTACTTTGGCAGTAACACCTTAACTCTCCTAGACAGGAAGGGAAAAGTTATTCAGGAGGTTACACACAATGCTGAGATCATAGACATAAGTCTGTCACCCACAACCAAGACACTGTGGGTCTGTGACAAGGAAAACAACACCACAGAGCTCGTGTCAGGACGACTAGTACACAGATTCAGCACCAGGAATAAACCACTGTGTATCTGTATCACAGGTAGTAACCATGCCATTGTAGGGATGGCCAAACACATCTCAAAACTCACCACTAAAGGTACATTAGTACTTACTACATTGGCAGCAGGGACTGGGAAACCATTAGTGTGTACACCATACAGGGTCTCAGAGTGTCCTGTCACTCACAATGTTGCAGTGGCTGACTTGGATAGTAAACCTCATGGTGGTGAAGGGAAACCACGTGTTGTTGTCATGGACACCGATTTCAAGAAACTATTTGTATATCATGGTAAAGACACACATACAAATAAATCAATGGTCAAATGTGTATAAATCTTCAAATGACTTCTTAGCAATTACAAAAAAGCCCGAAATGATAATAATTTGCCAGATGATGCTGGCTGCTTTGCATGCCATGTTTGTTCAATTCAAAACCTTTAACTCATTTCCAAGGTCACAAATGTCAAGTGTGTTAAAATCGTGAAACAAGTTCTTCTGAATAAGGATGTTTATATTTGGCCAGTAGCATGAAAATCAACCAGGTTAATTCAACTGAGTTAACGTGCTCGACCTTAAGGTCACAGTTGTCAAATGCGTAAAAATATGTTTATGGGTTTTTCTGAATGACCGTAAGTAGTTCAATTAAACCCATTTTTAAATGTTTGACCTTGGTTCACACACATGTGTGAGATTAATACAAGGTGAGCAAAACAGTTCCATGGGACATCTTGTAGTACTGTTTGATCACATTGTCCGGGACATATCTCATTTGCTCTGTCGCTTACTATTGCTCAATTTGGGCAAGGTAAACTAAAAACGGTATGGGCAAGAACACCTTTTAACTATATATAAACCAGAGAGTCCAAATTTAAGATGTTAAATAGTAATACAAACCAAAGTATCCGGACTATCAAAGTTCCACTGAACTCACAAACCAAATTTTCTGGACGAACAAGGTTTCACTGTGTTCAATGTATCCTGACTATCAAGGTTCCACTACATGATAACAAAATTTTCTGAGCGAACGAAGTCCACTGTTCACACAGATCAATGTGTTCGACTAACGAGTGCCTAGGCAAACTATAAATTAGATGAGAAGTTATTAATTTCAATTCAATAATCTGAAACGGAAATAACTCAATTTGAATCTATTGAGTGCCATTTCTCACTTTATTTCTGATCATGTCGCCTACATTAAAAAAAAAAAGAAAATCTCTTCAACTTCATGTGTAAAACTAGTCTTTGTTCAAGATATTCCCAATTAATTACGTTAGGTGCACGTAAGACATTCATCTGGATAGGACGTTTCTTTCAAAATAGAACGTAAGGCCTGTCTTTCCGGTGTGTTTCCATCTTGCTACTATTAATACACAAAGCCAAGGTCAAGGCCGACTTGTCCCGGAAGTGAGGCCCAGTACAGTGTAATCCACCTGGAGGCGCGGCAAAGGGAGTGTATGCATATATGTAAGTAAAGATCATTTGTACGGTAACTTTGAATGTAAGTTTGAATGTAAGTAAAAATGTTAAATAAGGCAGTGAAAAAATAAAGAAATAATATTATAATTACTAATAAGTATGAAAGAAAGTATGACAGCCCTCTTGTATGAGGACACATGACTGTGAAGATGCTGATCCCGGGGCTCCCCAACCTCGGCAGTATCCTAAATGTGCTGGGGAAGTAAAATGTTTGAAAAAAATAAAATAAAAAGGCCTGTCTTTGTGTGTGTGAATGCAGTATATATACAGTTACCTGGGATCAGTGCATTTACACTCTATTACTGATAAGGGTACACATGCATTGTCTACGTAACAACTTACATGTGTGAGTGACATAGTCAGCTTGATACAGAAGACTATTATAAAAAATGATAGGTGTATCGTTCTAGTTTGATTAATTGATTTAGATAAAATCGTTCTTTTAAAATCCGTGGACATGTCCCGTACCTCAGTTAAGTTAACCAGGACATTCTGACTGAGCCATACCACTAACGCTTTTTGTTATCCTTTAGAAATCGCCGCAACCTGTTAATTGCAAAGAAATAACAATACTAACAATTTCAATGCATCGTCTTAAGAAAAAATCCAGACGACGCCTTTACACAGGTATGTGTATCTGCCTAATTTATAAATTGATTTAGAAAAAAATGTTCTTTTTAAATGCGTGGATATATCCTGTGTCCCAATTAAGCTAACCAGGACGTTACTAATGAGACTGTATCCAAACTGTTCGTTTGTATACAGTTAGTTTTTGGTATCCTTCAGAAAACCTTCGTAACATGTTATTTACAAAGACATTTTTTTAACATTCTTAACTATTTAACTTCTTCGTCTTTAGAAGAAAAATCATAACAATTTAGATTTTTTTTAACTGAACGAATAAGACCAATGAAAAAAACAAATTTGTTTGCGTAAAAATTGAACAAACTTGCCGCAGCTTAGATGTGAGAAATGTCCTAAAGATGCAATATCAAAAGGTGAGGTGAAACACAATCTTTTCAGTCCCTTGAACGGAAATTGGACTAATCCTGTGTGTACTGTCGCGAATGAGGAGCCTGCAATTGAAAGGGTAGAGAGAGATAGTACATAAAAGAGAGAGAGAGAGAGAGAGAGAGATAGAGAGCACCAATAGTGAAATTGACATTAAGTAACCCCAGTCATACTCGGTGACTGGAATAAGCTACCTTGGGAGTTACATACTCGGGTGTGTTGCATAAAAACGGGGAAGGTTGAGAATTCACCAGTTTTATATAAACAATGAAAGTTGCAGAGACATCCTGACTTTTTCACCAATAGTGAAATTGACCAATTGTATACTGTAATGCTCAGAGCTTAGAAGTATGACTGAGAGACCACAAAAGCAAAATAGAACGTAAATTCTTGTACATGTTGTTGTCGTAGCCATTTGACATTATATATCATTGTGATAGATAGAAAAGGTTAAAACACTCAAAGGTAATAACACCTTATACGTTTGGTAATCTGTCGAAACAGGGGTGGGCTAGGATCGTTAAACCTCTTAATTTATTAATTTAAAAATTCAAAGGAGTATAAATAAATTTCAAATATAATTGCCTATAAAATTTTATATTATGAACCGTGTCACTACTCAAAAGAGATAACTATGGGCACCAAGGTTACAGCACACCTCGAGGAATGTAAAATTACCACCTGAGTCTACCACATTGTATCGTGAAAGATGACCCTCAGACACGCACAGATGATATAAGCTTTAAAACTTGGAAATAGATACAGTATGTAAAAAATTAATGACACTGCATCATACAGCTGTTTCGTCCTTCTATAACTTATACTTGATGAGGAAAGAACTCAATTTGAATCCATTTTGTGTCATTTCTCAATGTATTTCTGATCAGGTTTGTTTAAAAAAAATATGTATCTTTAACTTGATGTGTATACCTAATCTTTGTTCAAAACATTTTTTTCAAATTGATTACGTTATGTGCACATAATGACTTCACCAGAATCGTTGGTTTCTGTCAAAATAGATCGTTACGTCTATCTGTGTGAATGATATTAATGTAGCTCTTTATCATATACGGGTAAGACATGCATTGTTTACTTCACAACTTACATGTGTGAGTGACATAAGTATACACCATATACGTAATGTGGCATAGTCAGCATGATACAGACGACGCCTATAAAAAAGGTATGTGTATCTGTCTAGTTTGATTAATTGATTTAGAAATGTAATATATATGTTTAAATCCGTAGTGGATATATCGCATACCTTAGTTAAGCTAACCAGAACGTTACGACTGAGACATACCACTGGTGTCTTTTGTTATCCTTTAGAAAACCGCCGTAATGTGTAATTTGCAAAGAAAACATTTTCATATTATAAACATTTTCACTTCATCAACTTTACAAATACAAAATGAAATGATAAAAAAAAAATCATTAATATGTTTTAACCTAACTACGAGAGGAAAATACAATGAACAAACTTGTTAATACAATGATTTAGATGCGCTCATTCTGGATAACCAGGGGTTACGCTCACATCTCTACCCCTGGAATATATGTGATAGCAAAATCGAAGGCACGGGACTAGCTATTTGATTATTTTAAGGTAGATAAAACTTACCAGCCGCTCATCTGATATTTGTCCTTTGACAGTTTTAGAGGAGCGACACCCGACTTAAAAGCCAGTCAATTTTACCGTTTCGCGACCGAACGTTTTTTTTATGCACATCAAAGGATTCGATGAAACTAGTCTTATCGTCTCATCAACAAGATGGTGCTCATTGAGCCTTCTATTTAGCTATAACATATCCTAGGGGTGCAGTGAGCGTGATCCCTTGAGAATCGAGGATGATACGCCCTACACAAAGTGATATGTAAAGATTTCCATAGTTGTACAACTAACCACATTCTGTTACATTTCACAGAAGTGATCATTCTTCAGCTATTGCTGTAGATATACTTTAAACACCCCCTAACACGGAGAAAACGAAACTGAGTTGTGATTATGTGTGTTCAATCCCTTTGTATAAAGTGACTAGTTATAAAAACGTTAGGTAAGTGACTTTTATCTGCACTTAAGCTAATTGGCTACATGTGTACATTGCTGCTAACTGACTGAAAATATAAGCTATTAAAAAGCGATGTATTATATTATTATTAAAAAGCGATGAAATATATGTTGCTAAGTGACAAAATATATTAACTATCTAGTCGTGACTAAATCGTTTGCTAAGTGACTAGATATGTAAACGGTTGCTAATTGTCCACTCTGAAAACGGTTGTTATGTAACTAGATATACAAACGATTGCTAAGTGATTAGATATATAGACGGTTGCTAGGTGACTAGGTATATCATCGATTGCTAAGTGATTAGATAGATAAACGGTTGCTAAGTGCTCGGGGTCAAAACGTTGGAAATTCAAATTGTCTAAACTAATGTTAACAACAGATGGGCAAATGATTAAAACCCCTTAATTTATGAATTAAAACAATTATTTCAAATTGATTACGTTACGTACACATAAGAAATTCACCTGAATCGTTGGTTACTTTCAAAATAGATCGTTACGCCTGTCTCTGTGAATGCTATTTATATTTAAACTACGGGTGAAACATGCATTGTCTACTTCACAACTTACATGTGTGAGTGACATAAGTATACACCATATACGTATCGTGATATAGTCATTTGTGCATCTGTCTTGTTTGATTTATTGAGTTAGAAAGTTATTATATGTTTTATATCCCGTGCCTCAGTTAAGCTAACTAGGACGTTACTACGTGACATACCACTGCTGAGGATATAGTTATTTTGTGTTATCCTTTAGAAAACCGCCGTTTATTGTATAGAAAACCTTTTTAAGTTATAAGCTATTTCACGCACCGTGACAAACATATCGTGACATAGTAAGCTTGATACACACGTCTATAAAATGTACTTGTATCTTTCCTGTTTGCTGGATTGTTTTTGAAAATCAACGTTCTTTTTAAATTCGTGGATATATTCCGTGCCCCAGTTAAGCTAACCAGGACGTTCTCACAAGGCCATACCACTTGTGTCTTTTGTTATCCTTTAGACAACCGGCGTAACGTGTAATTTGTAAAGATATCCTTTTTAAATCATTAGCTATTTCACGTCATCGTTCTTCTATTTAAAGATATCTCTAATTATAATGTAGATAGGGCGCTGGTGACGCCACTTGGACCCGCATCTGCGACATAATATGAATAATAATATTTATACAGTGACAGTTATACATATCGTAGAAAAAAATATTCAAATCAGCTTTATACATAAGGTAACAAGACATTTTCTTCATATGCATATTACCAGAAATACAGGATTGTGTATACATGACGTTTGCGCAAAAGAGCCTAAAATACAGACGTAAAAAAGTAGGTTTTTATATCTTTCTTATTCCAAAACGTGGCAGAAGCCCTTCCATGGGCACCGGTTTCCATAGGTCAAAGTACAAGATTTTCGGACAAGCAATAATAATTCTGAAATTGAGGATGAAAATGTTTTAAGGAAAAAAACGCAATTTATATCGAACAATGTCATAAAATAGAAACTATGCATTTAGAGTATAAACAAGTAATGTTACAAGCCATTATTTAAACTTTAAGGAATAAAATACATCAAAACAAAAGTCGAAAAGGCTTCTGTCAACGGTGACGAGATAAGGATTAAATTGACATTTTTATAATATTTCCAATATTAATTTAAACAAGAAAAGTCCTTGACAGGTAACAACTTTATTTTCAATTTGATCCTTTACGCGCTACACAACACGTTACATGTATATTTTCATTATCGTACAACTTACTACTCCTGTACGCGCTCATCCTCGCATCCTTGATATTCCAGGTGTTACGCTCACTTTTGCTCTCTACTACCCTGAAATATGTCATAGAAAAAATGATGGCATGTGACTAGCTATTTGATTTATCTCAGGTAAACAAATTTGACCAATCGCTTGGCTGATACCTGTCCTTTGAAAATCACAGATGAGCCACTTCCGACATCAAAGCCATTTAATATTGCCGTTACGTGACCGCAAAATTCAGTTGGTGTAAATCAAATAATGAAGCAATTCTTCTTGTCTCATCCATAAGGTGGCGAACACAGAGTCTTTGATTGTTCCTTCGGCAAACTCCAGGGGTGCAGAGGGCGAACGTGAGCACAATTCCTGGAGTATCGAGACTGGTACACGCTACACAACACGTTGTATGAGTTGTTATCGTACATCTGACCACATTATGTTATAGTTCACAGAAGTGAGCATTCCACTATGAGGGAACCTCTTCGGGAGAAAACTATGAAGTAAAGTTCAAATTCAGCGGCAAAACTAACTAAAGATAAGTTTTTTTTATTACTAAGCTGTTACCAAGACCCCAAGACTATCTCCACTATATTTCAAATAAAACATAAAAACACCACCTTAATCTAAACTTTCTTGTGCTTTTATTGTTGATATTATTTAATGTAGATGTTCATTTACGAGTACTCAATGACTGAACGTGTTGTCGTGTTGTCGGTTTTTTTGCGGTTCCAAACCGCGGTAAAGGGGAGATTTAGTAAATAAAATGTCACATTGTCTTTTTTGTTTTACTGTGACAAAGCGACAACTCGACGAGGCGACATTTAGAACACGCGTTCATATTGTCGTGTTTTCACGGCAGATTGTCGAGTTGTCGCCTTGTCATGTTGTGGTTTGATGTGTTGTCGCCTGGTTTGTTCGCTGTAATATCCATTTTTGGTGTCTTGAACTTGAATTATACTTGTTGTATTCGTGTTATTTCCAGATGGCTGTCTGTCTCACACCTCCGGGCTGGGGTTCGGAACATTCTGTCTATACCTCCATCACCTCACCATGAATGTATGAGTACGGTGCCTGAAGAGTAAACATTACAACTCCACCACAACTTTTTTGTTGTAATTTTAACAAAATAACTTCTTTATTCAATAACCTAATATCCGTCGCAAAGTATTTATATAATCATTTAATATGAACGAAATCCAAAATAATAATGAACTTTGTAAGTCCGTTGCTACGACAACGTATTAACTGTTACCATACTTAATATCTAATTCATGTTTTTTCAGATGGTCACTGCTGTAAATATAATGATTGAAATCTGTTTTTGACATATTATGTTTATATGAAACACATTACCGTTCAAGCATATTCCATGTATAATTTTGTATTTAAAGACTCCTTATCTCATTAACTGCTTGATTACACTTGGTAGAAATGGTTGGTACATTAATATAAATAAACACTGTTTACCTGTGGTAAATGTACCATTGACCTTTAGGTAAAATCTCGATAAATCTCGTGATGTACCATATATGCTTTGATTTTGCATATATTAGACCTGCAATATATATAAGGGAGACTACTCGCGATGTATTATGCGCAAAACCGGCACGTATTGGAGATTAAGCTTTTAGGAAGCTCCGGATAAACATATCGTCTTTGCACACATGAACGGAATCATATACCGTATACGCACAACTTGACAGATTAGGAGAGTTGACTAGCCTGAAAACCGTAAAATCACATAAATTAAAATGAAATAACCCGAACGGATTTCTTATTCATTTGACAACATTTGACTTGGTCCTAAGGTATGTTTTCACACTGTGATTCAATGATATAAAGTTGGAACAGCTGTAAACGTTAACAGGTGACAGAGGTCAAGTACAACAGCTGTAAACGTGAACAGGTGACAGAGGTCAAGCACAAGAATCAAACACTGAAATTTAGCATGTATCTCATGTAATCAATATTACGTGTCATGTATGTAACGACGTCCAAAGTAGTAATGAAATTTTTAAAAAGTCTATGGTCACGAAAACGTATTCGCTGTTACGATACTTGATACTTGAATTCAGGTTCTGTCAGGTGTTCACTGCTACATATCTTCGGCAACGTCGCACAACCAGTAACTGTTAAATGCTCTGCTGCACACTGATCTATTAAATAGCTCATATTACACCACCCCTATATTGAGGTAGGTAGATAATAGCATCCCTGACGTCAGGTTGGGGAGAGCACACCCTTACTTGGGTAAATTCTGTTATGTGATTTGTTGTGACATAATCTGCTATGATGGATGTGTATATTTAAGTGTTGTTGTTCGTTGTCTGAGGACGGCCTGACATGGTAAACAAGGTGAGTTATTATACGTGACTGCAACTGTACTGTGGTTCCATACATACAATTTTATTCTACAACATCATTACCCAAACGGGCGCCAACCACTGGATTTAGTGAAACAAAGATTTAAGTGGACACTAAGGATTATGAGAATACTTTGGATTTTTATTCCTGATGTAGCGACAAACGTTTCTTTGTGGTCGTTTGTAACAGTGTTAGATACAATGTAAACAGCTATACAACAAACTGCTTCCCTGTGAATCAACTTTTAATAGTCAATAGTCCTCGACTGTTTCACATCTTTTTATCAAAATGGCAACATCCCTGGACAAAGCGCAAATCCATTTCCGGGTTAAAGGTCAAACCACCTGTATTCACCACAAGGGGGGACAACTCGACCTTTACTGTAAAGAATGCCACCAACTTGCATGTACTAACTGTCTGTCTATTGTACATAAGAGCCATTCATTGTGTAGATTAGATGAAATTACTCCCCAAAAGAAAGAAGACATACAAAACTACATAGACAAAACCGAGAAAGATGACCTGGTACAAATCGACCAATACATCACTGCTACGGAGGAACACTTAAAGGACAATGCAAGTAACTTTGAAATATTTTCACACCAGTTAAAGACGCAAACTAACCAATTAAAACATGATCTTGACCTGATTACTGCTGAGACGTTGTCTCTCTATCAACAATTGGAGGAGGATAACACCAAGCTACTACAAACCTACAAAAAAGACCTGGAAATGTACAGTACGCAGCTAAAAAAACAAGTGCAAGAATGTAAGATAGCACTTCAGCGTGGCTCGGACATACAAATCTACGACGCAGGGTCTGAAATTCAATCTTCTGTCACACCCCCTGTAGAACCTACCCTGGGTACCGCTAGCTTCATTCCGAACCGAATTCCACAGGCTTACCTGCAACAAGCTTTGGGAAAAGTTAACATCTTAGGTCGAGGTCAGCGGCAAGCCTTACAAGGTCGTGATCGTTCAGTTGGATCATCTGCTGGACAAGGATTACTCTCAACACAACTTCAGTCAAAAGTAAAGGTTAATGCAACCTCTACACAACAGATATCAAAAGGAAGAAAGGAAGTGACCAGTCCAGTATATACCTTGTTACCTCAGACCAAGGTGTTGGGGGAGTGGTGGTCTCCACGTAACATAACTTCTGTATGTGCCACCACTGATGGTCAGGTGTGGACCAGTAACAGTGGCAGTGACACCTTAACTCTCCTGGACAGAAAGGGAACAGTTATACTGGAGGTTAAACACAATACTGTGATCAAAGACATAAGTTTATCACCTACAACAAACACGCTGTGGGTCTGTGACAGGGTAAAAAACAACACAGAGCTCGTGTCTGGACGACTTATACACAGATTCAGCGTCACGGAAACACCACAGTGTATCTGTATCACAGCTAGTAACCATGTCATTGTGGGAACGGTCAAACACATCTCAAAATTTACCACAAAGGGTAAATTGGTACTTACTACATCGGCTGTAGGGACTAGGAAACCATTTGTGTATAGACCATACAGCATCTCAGAGTGTCCCGTCACTCACAATGTAGCAGTGGCTGACTGGGATAGTGAAGATGATGGTGGTGATAGGGAACCACGTGTTGTTGTCATGGACAAAGATTTCAAAAAACGTTTTGTATATGATGGTGAAGTCCCACATACATATCAACCAACATCACAGTCAGGAGGTAAACGATTTAACCCCTCTGGTGTGGTGTATGACAGTGTTGGTAACCTAGCCATAGGGGACTATTACAACAACCGTATCCTACTCATCAGTGGGCGTGGTGAGTTCCTCAAGACCATACACACAGGTGACGACTGGACACGGGCTGTTTGTGTCAACAGTAAGGATGTCATGTGGACAGTGTTTGGGGTTAACAAAGTCAAACTATTACAGTACAGCAGTGTGTGACGTCTGGACAAACTACGGTGTGAATATAAAGTAACAAACACTAAAAGGATAATGGAAATTGTCTTGAAACAAATTCAACACAAGATATAAACTACGGACCTTAGAAATGTACCAACGCAATAGACAATCATAAGCATGATGACAATTATTAAAAATTTAAAAATCAACAATTGTGATAATAAAATAACCTCTAAAGAACTGAAAAAAGATGTGATGTTTGACACTAGTGTTAAATTCAATTTGAAGAAATTATCGGCCTCAAAGGATATAGGACTTTTCTGAGTGCATATTCTTCATTTCATATTTAGTCTAGCTGGAATATATTTGGGGAAATTGCTCGACAGCTTGAAAGAGAAAGTGGAAAAATTAGAAGAACGAGCCACAGAATCAGACAGTATGAATACTGGACTAGTGTATAAAGTAAATGATTTGGAACAACAAGGCAGGAAAAATTCAATCAGGATTGTTGGCCTTAGCGATACAAGGGATAAAGAAACAATTGAGGAGTGTGTAGAGAAAGTAGTGACATTTGTAAAGGATTCTTTGGAGGTGGATATACAGAGCAACGACATAGACATTGCGCATAGACTCGGGCGTTTTGACAGAAACAGGCCTCGGACGATCATCTGTAAAATGACCCACAGGAGGAAAAAGGTCCAGATACTAAACAACAGACGTAAATTGAAGGGAAAAGGACAAATTGTTTTCGAGGACTTGACAAGAATGAATCAAGAAACACTTAAGGAAGCATACAGACTTAAAAGTGTCAAACATACTTTTAGTGTGGATGGAAAATTATTCGCAGTGCTAACCAACGACAAGAAACGAAGACTGTCATACGCTACAGAGCTGACGGATCAGTATCTTGCAGATGACAACAATTTTAGGAACTAAGAGACAGATTCTACGGAACTGTGTGAAAAGTATTATTATTGAGTG